CCCGCGATCAGGATGTAAATGGGCTGCATTCAGAGTTCAACAGTGATGTGACATTGAGGGGTTTGGCACCGTGATCATCGCGCACACAGATTTCTGTTCATTCGGACATCAGCAGTGTAGGTTAGAGGCTCATACTGGCTCGAGCCTCAAATCTTTCTTCCACAAGTACCATCACGAGAAAGGCTGTAGTGGGTTCTTCCTTCTTTTATACAGTTTTTTGTATGTTTTTTACATGTACCATGCCTGTCTGTGCTCTTATCTAGAGTCAGATAAGAAGATCAGAATAAGTTTCACCTCTTGTTGGTCATTACAGAGTTAGGTCCAGTATGCCTAGCTTAGCATAAAGTATGAACGCAGGGGGGCTGAGTACTAGCTACATCAAATATGTCTGATTTAGGGGTGCTGAAGGTCTCTGCCACAGTGCAGGACACACTATGCATCCAGGTGTGGAAGCAAATAGGTTACAGCTGTAGTTTTTGTGTATCTGGAACCACGGCGAGGGGTTTGACACATTGTACGAGTTTATGACAGTGACATAAGATCTGAGACCGGATCATTAATGACAGGTCCAGAATCAGTTTTCCACAATCCATTATTGACATAATTAAAATCAGGTTGCTTCCAAATCAGCAATGTCAAAACAATTTTAATTGTGGCTTTTTTGAACAAATATCCTACAGCACTGACTGTGGTTGGTTATATGCACAAATATAACCACAGTTAGACGGAGTAAGAGCTAGGTTAGCAGTTTCCTCCCTGTCCTATTATTTGTGCTAAGCTAGGATAGCATGCCCTGGATCTGTGTACTTTCCACATAGAGATACACTGATCTGTTCATCTGACTCTGGGTAAGAATATTGGACTGTTTCTTTAATCCTGGCGTGCAGTGACTACACACTGATTCACTAGAGAATGTCCCCATTGTTAGCACAAAATCAACTGAAAAGTTACAGGTACAAATGCATTTCAGTTAATACTGTACACTAATGGTGCACATTAACAAAAACTTCCATTTACAATAAATCAAACTGCCAACATTGCCACACAGTGGTGGTCTGCTCCAGTTTGATTTTTGTTTAGGTTGCTCACCATTATCAGTAGCTCGGTGTTTGTCTCCATTATTCCACACGTTGGTCGGGACACAGAGTGTCAATCATAGAACAGCAAGGATAAATGATCTATACAATTGTGGATAAAGTCATAAGCCATGATAAGCTCCTAACATGTAAACCTTGGAATGACTGCGCTGACATGAACACCAATAGTACTTCATTTTGGGGAATATATTCTAGGATGTCCATCATTATGATGGAACAGTTAGACATGCATTCATTACAAATCAAACCAAAATTGAAGTTTAACTGTAATTTAGAAATACCCGTCTCTGAAAAAGACGTCCTTCATCTTTAATTAAGCTACTAAAGCAACATTTGCTATACACAAACAGAATGTTGTGTGCATGTTAACACATTCAGCAACAGCCTACCACACACACTGTTCATCTTAGCCACCCGTCTCCTCTCACATACAATTTAAAAGTACAAGAATAAGAAAAATACTCTCCATATTTTACACGTTATAAAATGTTCTCTTACATAAAAACTTCTCCCGGGTAATGAAAATCTCTATTGTTTCATGATTTTACATTTATACTAAGTAACATATATTAAAATGAAAAAAATGCCATTGTGTTTTGTGTGTGCATTAAGCAGCTGTTGATATCAAATTCTGACAAAATATCTTCAGTTTAGGTGCACTTGATTTATCTTTCCTGTCTGTTGGATAATAAATCAAGCGCTTTGATTAAAACTCATCTAGCTGTTTGCTAGCTGGACTTGCTGAGTGGATTTAACTTGATTTGGTGTTAAAGGTTTCATTTCCAAACTCAGCACCTCATTTTCTAGATAACAATTCACATTTGAATTCTAACTGATACTTTGTTTGTGGGGTAGGACTGGAATAATTGACCCTTCCTAAGTTAGATTAGCCTAGCACATAGCATATCTAAGTACAGGAAAGGATGAAACAGAACGAGGTATATACTGTCAACGGTTCTGACCGAGGCTTGGTCAACTGTTATCGGAGCACAGAGCAAAAAGGGGCGGGACTTAAGAAGGGTCAACTGGTCTGCTACAGGAAAATACAACCAATGAAAGCTTTCATTTGGAAATTAATTAATGTGATTTTGTGTAGTTTTATGGTTTAGCAGGTAAAAAAATGGAAAGAGTGACAAGCAAGAATTCAACTGTGATAGCTGTCTCATATAAATGGGTCCAACAGGGTTTGACAAGTGTTCACATCTCCAGTTCAGAAAGGGGTATCACATAAAATGTTTGATCTTTGAGAAGAGCGGGGTAATAACATTTGAGCATCAGAATGGAACAGAGCCTTAATTAGTATCATTGGTAACACCTGTGTTTACCTTACTATTTAATGTCAAAATGGCTGCAGAGAAAAAGGGACAAATGATGTCCTGTCAGCAGGAACCAATTGAGAAGCCGTGAAGTACGTGGGTAACCCTTTATAAAAATGAACTTTCTTGTCATAATGCACTGAACACTTTCACACTACGTCCTGACAGTACTTTACATGAGACAGAGTAATCTGTAGAACAATCGACGGTGGCCCTCTGGCCTCCCTCCTGGTGCCTCTCTACATTGGGGATCTTAAGCAAGAATCCAGCGGTCCTGAACAAAAACAACCAATCAGAGCTGAGAAATATAGCTGATAGTTGTTGAGTTAACACAGACGCTGGGAATGACACTCAGCAATCAACTATCTTCAAGCCTCCAATCCAAAGTGTCTTTATATCTTTCTCGGCTCTGATTGGTTGTTTTCATACAGGTATGGCTGATTCTTAAAAATGCCATTAGAAGCACTAGAAGGAGCAGGGAGGACCACATTTTTTCACACATTATTTGTCTCAAAAATGTATTTTTATAAAAGTTACCTACCAGTAAGCATGACTCCAGTCCTGTTTGAATCCCTGGTTAATAGGTGTGTATTATTTATTCATAACAGTTGCACTTAACCAATTAAAAGTCATAGTTCTTTCAGTGCATTAAATGGCTTTAGTATCTGTAAGGTTTGCTTTAAGAAACAGGGTTTATTTCTACCTCCTCTGGGGCACAAGAATTTCCCTGAGCAGGAATAGAACATAGCACTGCTTTCAGTGCTATGTTGGTCATTTGGACTGTCTGATGAATAATATACTATAGCATATAAAGTATATAAGTAGTCAGGGCAGGCTGTATGTAATATAGCTGATATTATTTTGTAAACATCACGTGACACTGATACAGTTTGACAACCAGACCGAAAATATTTGGGTGTAATTGGGAGCAGAACGTGAGACAGAGGAGGACAGTGAAGAAAGAGCGCAGTGTGTGACTAAAGTCAGCCAACATTTCTGACTGTAAGGCAATACCCCCAGAGCTCCACAACAAAGAGCTGCTCTCACACACACAGGTTTATATGACCCAGATAAGAAAATAAAAACACTGCGTGTGCCTCTGTGTCCCATGCTGCACTGCACTGTTCAAACATGACAGGAATTTCCTTATTTTGACCCCTACTCCCTGATGGTTGATAGTGTGTGTATGTGCGTGTGTGTGTGTGTGTGTGTACGTGATTAGAGTTTGTTTGGCTAGAGGGCAGAGTACTGATTATTACATTTAGTGTGAAGATCTTCATATAAAAAAAATCAGTGTAGCTACATCCCCATCCTTTTACAGTTTCTGAAATGAGTTTAGAAATCAGAATAATGATATATGTGATTCACAGACTTTAAACGATATATCTTTGACCAACAATATAGTAGAACTAACCACCTTTTTTCTGTTTTTTTCTTTTTTTTTGTAATGTGTGTTATGGAACCAAATGTCCCATTTCTCCTACTTAGACATATATATAAAAAAAAAACAATATAAAATTTTAAACCTTGAATTTGACCAATATGATGATTCATAATTATTGTTTGACAGCTGATTTAGTGAAAAAAATATATATTCTTTTAAGAAATCAAAACTAAAGTATTTTCTCTGTATGTATATTGAGGTTTCATGACATACAACACCATCAGGGCACTATTTCAGTGTTACAACAACCAGTGCAGAGACTGTGTAGGGGTCTGCACCTGCTGTTGTGGTTCAGTATTTGCAGCAGCACACAGTGTAGACGGGCAGAGCGAAGGTGAATATAGATCAGAGGGTGTGGTGAATCATAAATACGCTCTCAGCCAATCACAACACTGCTTTCAAAGCTGTGAAAAAACTGAGCTTTGAGACTATACAATATGCACAGCCGAATATTCATCTCAATCACTATGGAAACAAGCTTCATTTCCACTCCCATAAATGGAGGTAGAAACACCCTTGGCTCCATAACTCATTAGACCTGTCAATGAGAGGAATGGCAAAGAAGAAAACGTGATGCATTTGGCGAGGTTCTCAAACAGTATCAGAACAGCTGTCACTGTGGCTGTTTATGTCTCCCCTAACAATAATCTATAAAACATACCTGTAAACCATCACCGGGGGGATATTTCAATCATTATTGTTTACGTCAGAGGGATGATCATGTGATCATGCTATGCAGCTCACATTGAAACAAACATTACAACGTGATTTACACTTCAGGATCATTAATGGGAGACGATGGTGAATATAAGTAAAAAGATAAGATAAAATGTATCACTCATAAATAGGTTTATAAATGCACCTCTGATTAACATTGTACAGAACACTGTGTAGAATAAACATACCCATATCTCATGTCCACCATTAAGTTACCCGCAGTTAGCTCTTCAATATTTTGTGTTAGCCTGCTTTGAAGCATGCATGAGGTGCACACATTCTCACGGCACATTCTTCTTTTACAAATACTACTTGGGAAAGAAAGTTATTTTTTAAGTAAAGAAAACTGTTGAAACAGATTACATTGAAAATTGTAAGGAACACAAACTCATTTTTTTAAGTTAAAAAAGATCTTGATTAAGCAGCTGTTACCAATTTAGTTTTGTAAGTTACAGAAACATTTCTGATTTCTGACTTTTCACTGGATATTTTAAATCAATACCACTACAATATTATATTATATACAACAATATCACTAAAGCTACTTGATCAAGGATGTTGATTTAACTTATGAAAGTGAGTTAGTTGTACCTTAAATTGTTGATGGAATAAGTTTCAACATTTTTTTGAGTTAAATAAACTCACAGTGTGGGTTTTGTGCATGTGCATTGTTTATACATCTGGCCCCTGCTGCCAGATGGTTACAGGGATTTCAGGAACTGAAGGAGAAACTGTTTTCCATCAAAATACCAACAATTCACTTTGTGCTGCCTCATTTGAATGAATCTCCCACCTATGCACTCTGTGCTGGACACCAAAATACTCAGCTTTTTCTGGTTGTTGTGCTGCCAAGAACATAGAGCCCTCAGTTTTTTACATGATATTGTTGTTTCATGGTCTTGTTGTAGTCAGCTTCTCTTTATAGTGATGTTTCTGATTGATGCAACTGCAGGTTTTGTACTATGGCAAAAGCAATTTCAGATGGAGATGAGTTTCTTAAATATGTTTATCAAACTGGCGTATGGCTTTTACGGGAGCATTTTGCAATTATTTCTCAATCCTGTGAATAATCTCTTTAAGCCCACACTGATCAGTTAATACATTATGGCATTCAAATCATTTCCTTCGGGTGAATATAAATATTTTTTATGTGTACAGAACCTGACTGTTCAGCTCTATAAGTTACCTCAGCCAGATGTAGCAGACATATAAAGAGTCAGTGATGTTATGCCTGTAAATTGTGAAACTCGTGATCCAGGGAGGAGGAATCTAGCCGGCCCCTGCGTCCTGTATCTCTGCGGTCCGTCCACTTTAAAAAGAAAAACTATCAGTGAATCAACAGGAAGATCCTTCAAAAGAGCACAGCCATCTGTAGTTGTCATGGTTACAGCACTCTTGGTTGTAACATTCTGTAGTCCTCACTGTTACAGTGTAGTGTTGTCTTGGTTACAGTGTTATTATGTTACCGTCCTCTCTCATGCTCTCTTGACTGCTACTAGATGTGTGGGCAGGGTTTCCGTTGTGATTTGACATCGTCACAGAGGTGTCACTCAGAGTTGCTCCGACGCTATTGGGCAACGAGACGCTCTGTGGGAGGGGCCTAACCACAGTGGAGTTGTGCGGCCTGTTGCTTGGTGAGTCTCTGTTGAGGTTAGTGTTGTTGCTGTTGGTCACCCGTTGGGAGTCAAAGGGCGTCAGGCAGTCGTTCTCCAGAATGAGGTCCCCATCATCGTCTTCATCGTCACTGTCGCCCTCTGCAATGCTGTTGCTGTGGTAACGAGAAACAACAGGGCGAATGATGATTATAGAATTGATGTAGAAATTACAAGAGAAATAAAAACATATGATACACTCGTGCATTCGTCTGTTTTTTGTCCACTTTTTCCACCTGAATTCAATAACCACTCTCATTTTAGCTCTTGTTTGGTCTCCACCAAATCCTGATAAAAATATCTTTGTCTTTACCTTAATTGCTACACTATGTTCTCCAGCTAGTCTCCAACCGTGTCTGTCTGCTGCTGAGCAGGTAGTGTACAGTGGGTTTATCAGAGCTTTTTCACTGAAAACAGCAGCTGGACACCAGGCTACTACAACCTACTACAAGGAGGTTTTAACTGATTATGAAACTGTCTCAAGTTAATACTCATGCCTTTGCTTGTAACATTTTTTCTACACTGTTGACATCAAAGCAGAAAGTGGGGTAAATGAGTTTTACATTTACGCTTTTTGAAAAGTGGAAGATTCATTAAAATGTTATTTCCACAGATTATTTCCACATAAATGCAAAATATGTGTCTGCTCACTAATTTCATTTTTTAAACCTTGACCATACATATAATCTATTCCCTCTCCTTCCCTGCTGCTGCTTGTGGCTATATTTGTCATTACAATCCAGGGTCAGAATGGTCTCAGTGCTGTCAAAGGCTTCACAGCACCCTGGAATAAATAGAATTTGGAGAAAACAATGACTTCAGTGTCATATGTCATACCTTGCGGTAATGGGGTTGCTCTGAGAGGCAGGGCTTGGTGAGTCATGTGATGGTGCCGAGCCGGTAGATCCAGCTGAGCCCACGGAACCAGAGTTGCCCATTGAGGTTTTACTCCCACGATGCACCACGTTGTTCCTCTGGTTAGCTGGCTTGACAGTCACAATGAGGTTGTGACTGTTGGCCACCATCATGTCTGTCACCTGAAATGATAGATGGAGGATCTTAGCTCTGGAGGAGGTGAAGACAACATCAAGGATTTGTCTCATATAGTCGCTGATTCAATACATAAACGGAGGGCCATTACGGGGACATATCTAAACTTTTGCTAAGGCTTGGCAGGTTACTAGTAGGTTAATGGTGGACACTGTTCAGCCTTTTCCACCAACAGAGAACCAGCATTGTTCCGGTTCATGCAACTAGTTTTGATCCAATCGGAGCAAAAATAAATTGGTTTGGAACCTGAAAAGTTGGTTCCCAGCTGGAACCAAAAGGTATCAGGTTTTCCTTGGTAACAAAAGTTGGTGTGTCATATTCTACAGGTCTCTGTGCATTGTGCAGCGCCCTCTGCTGGTTGACTAGATAGCAACAAGGTTCCAAGAATCCTAAATTGAACTGGTTCAAGAACCAGAACTAATTTGGTGGAATGACACTGTATGAATACCTGATCCAAAGATTTCCCTGCTACATCGATGCCGTTAACCTCGAGGATCTCGTCATTAACTCCCAGCAGCCCTGTGCTTTCTGCCAGCCCACCACGTACCAGACGAGATATGAACACCCCTGGAACCTACAGGAGAAGAATGAAGAAGAGAAGTGCTAAAGATGATGTCTCTCTGCAACATGTTTCACAACCTGAGAATGTAGATTTAATATTAACAAATCTATGAAACATTCAGCAGTCAGCATACCCACATATTTATTAATATATCTTTTTTTCATGTTTTCTAGTATTGCTTTGGTTTCAACAACTTTTGTAGTCTTCACATTAACTAGAATGACTATCTGCCTCTGCCATCCAGTCAAGTTATACTGCAAACTTTGAAGAAATTATATCAAATGTATAAAATGTATTTTTGGCTATATTAATGATACATGGTAAATGGTCTGTACTTATATAGCACCTTTGTAGTCTTCTAACTACTCAAAGCTCTTTATGCTACATGCAACATTCACCAACAAACACACATTCATTCATTCAGCACCTGATTACTATGTAAAGTGGGATTCTTATATAGATCTTGTATAGCTATACTAAATGTGCTAGGAACTAGCTCCAATACGTTGTAAGAATGGATGAGATGGAAAGATG